ATAATTTCTAGAAAGAAAATAGCTTATGTTGGCCATCAGTCTCCTAGTTAGGCAGAAGTATTTGCAAAAGTGGTCCTGTGAAGAAGCCAGAGTTCAGGATCTCTATAGACAGGTGTGAGCGAGAGCTTGGAATATACTGGTAAAGTCTAGATTGTTCTTTTAATCTTCTCACCACCTGCTGCAATCTGGGACCTATCCCATGTCCAAGACCTGGTCTAAATGAGGAAAAATATGATATGTGAAAGGAGCAAAATAACCTATTTGGTCATTCTTCACATTCTGGTTATTGGCACAGGAACATCAGGCTGTAAATACAATAAACAATAGCGATGATTTAACACAAAAACATTACCTTCAGATTTCTACATATTTTCCCTGTTAACCTAAAGAAATAACCACCTATTAGGTGTCAGAGGGTGGTTCTATGAGACTATTAATATAGTTTTTTATATGTTAGTTTTTCCTCCTAATAAATTATCAGTTCCCAGAAGGCAAGAACAACGCATCATATATCTTTACATTTCCATGCTGGACATATGGTGGGACCTCAAAATATAATTATTTGTTGGTTGGTTGATTGTATGTAGTATTAGGTATAATTAAACATTACAATTGCACTTTGTGAAGATTTTTTACTCTCTCATTGCCACCTCTCTGTCCATTTCTGCCTAGATTACTGGTTTCTCTGCTTTCTCTTTTGTTTCTTTTCCACCAAAAGCAAAAATGATGTTAAAATGAAAATTGACTCACATAATTCTGTTGTTTGAATCCCTTCAATGTCTCAACGCTTCCTTGGAAATAAACTGGAATACATCCAAATTTCTTACCAGGGCCTATTAGTATCTGTATGATCTGCTCCCTATTTATTTTTCCATTCTTGGGTCACTTTTCCTCTTCTTCACCCCTCACTAGTCTTGGGCCCTACTGGTCCTTCTTTCTACAGTCTCACTCCCTCCTCCTAAGTCTTATGACCTTAGTACAGGTTGTTCTCTCTGCCTGGAATGCGGTCCTTATCCCCACAATATGCATAGCCAGCTCCTTCTCATCTAAATGTCTCTGTTTAGGGGCACTTGGGTGGTGCAGTCGGTTAAGCATCCGACTTTGGCTCGGGTCATGATCTCATGGTTCATGGGTTCGAGCCCCGTGTCGGGCTCTGTGCTGACAGCTCAGAACCTGGAGTCTGCTTCGGATTCTGTGTCTCCCTCTCTTTCTGCCCCGCCCCCTGCAATAATAAATAAACATTAAAAAATGTCTCTATTTGGTCTTTTGTGATTGCCCTATATAAAGCTGATGACCTCTGTTAGTCTCTTGTTTAGACATTTTAACATTTCTTTCATTGCATTTCCTATAAACTCTAATTATTTTCTACCTACTTATCTGTATAAAGAAGAGGTTGTGCCGATCTTGCTCACTATTGTATCTCCTGTGTGTAACTTGGTGTCTGGCATATGGTAAGTGTTCAGTACATACTTATTTAAAAGAAAAGTGACAAAGACAAAGTGAATTTTTTCGCTAAATTCTGTTACTCCCAGAAATAAACCCATGCATATGTGGTCAATTAATTTACAAGGGAGGCAGAAGATACAATAGGGAATGGGGCGCCTGGGTGGCTCAGTCGGTTAAGCGTCCGACTTCAGCTCAGGTCATGATCTCACGGTCCGTGAGTTCCAGCCCCCCGTTGGGCTCTGGGCTGATGGCTCGGAGCCTGGAGCCTGTTTCCGATTCTGTGTCTCCCTCTCTCTCTGCCCCTCCCCTGTTCATGCTCTGTCTCTCTCTGTTTCAAAAATAAATAAACGTTAAAAAAAATTTTTTTTGAATAAAAAAAAAAGAGAAAATACAATAGGGAAAAGACAGTCTCTTCAATAGATGATGCTGGGAAAACTGGGTAGCAATGGGCCCTATCTTACACCCTAAACAAAATGGACTCAAAATGGATTAAGGTCTTGAACGTAAGTTCTGAAACCATCAAACTCCTAGAAGAAAACATAGGTGATAAGCTTGTCATATAGGTCTTGGTGATGAGTTTTTTAATTTGATACCAAAAGCAAACACAACAAAAGCAAAAATAAACAAGTGGGACTACGTTAAACTAAAAAGCTTCTGCACAGCAAAGGAAACTATCAACACAATGAAAAGCCAACCTATGGAATGGGAGAAAATATTTGCTAACCACATGTCTGATAAGGGTTAATATCTGAAATATGTAAAGAACTCACAAACTCAAAAGCAAAAAAAAAAAACCATACAATCTGATATTAAAATGGGCAGATCTGAACGGACATTTCCCCAGCAAGACATACAGATGGCCAACAGGTACGTGAAAAGATGCTTAGCATCATTAATCCTCAGGGAAATGCAAATCAAAACCACAGTGATGTATCACCTCACAGCTGTTAGAATGGCTATTATCAAAAAGATGTGTTGATGAGGATGTGGAGAAAAGGAAACCCTTGTGCACTGTTGGTGGGATTGTAAATTGTGCAGCCACTGGAGAAAACAGTATGAAGTTTCCTCAAAAAATTAAAAATCAAACTACCATATGATCCAACAATTCTACTTCTGGGTATTTATCCAAAGAAAACGAAAACACGAATTCAGAAAGATACATGCACCCCCATGTTCATTACAGCAGTATTTACAATAGCCAAGATACAGAAACAACCTAAGTTTCCATTGATGGCTGAATGGATAAAGAAGACAAGGTATATAAATACAATGGAAAATTATTCAGCTATAAAAAAGAATGAAATCTTAGTGTTTGTGACAATGTGGATGGACCTCAAGGGTATTATGCAAAGTGAAATAAGTCAGACAGAGAAAGACAAATACTGTATGCTCTCTGTTATATGTGGAATCTAAAAAAAAAATACATGTGGGGGAATGGGCCAAATGGGTGAAACGGAGTGGGAGATACAAGCCTCCAGTTATGGAATGAATAAGCCACCGAGACGAAAATTACAGCATAGGGAATACAGTCCATAATATTGTAATAGCGTTGTATGGTGACAGATGGCAGCTACATTTGTGGTGAGCACAGCATAAGGTGTAAACTTGTCGAATCACTATGTTGTACACATGAAACTAATGTAACATTGTGTGTCAAGGATACTTTAATAAAACAACACCAACAACAAAACAAGCCATTAGATAGGGAGAATGGATTGCTTGTTGCCAGAGGCCGGGGTGAGAGGTGGAATAAATGGGTAAAAGAGGTAAAACGAAAAAAAAAATATCATTTGGACACTTTGGGCAGTGTGTGTTAAGAAGATCCAAGAGTAGGAGCAGGAAATCAAATAGGAGATTAATGCAGCAACATAGAAAAGAGACAGTGGCCATTCCAACCAGGATTGTAATCGAAGAGAGAAGAGATTGAGTTTGGGAACAGGTCTAAAAAAACAAAAACATGCCCTCATTGGAGACAAATGGCAATTGTATGGTACAAACCTGTGATGACATCAAGGTGTATTTAGTAACCCCTTCAGGATATCACTGACCGATCAAAATGTTCTTGGTCAGTGGCCATTAAAAAGCTCAAAACTTCTGTGTTCCTGATATACTTCATAAAACGACTTTTGAAAATACAAATCAATCCCCTGCAATGAATGGACTAGAAAATATTTAGGTAGGAAAATAAAGTTTTAAGACTGAGATGAGTCATAAGATGTCCTCTAAGCATTATAGTATACTCTAGATTTTGGAAATTTGAAATAGCCTATTCAACTCCTATATTTTCATTTTGCAGCTGAAGAAAGAATCATAGACGTTAAATGATCTGCCTGGGATCTCGAAGCTGGTTAGAAGCACAACCGGAATTAGAATGTCTAGTTTGGGGTACATTTCATCATGCCACCTGTCTGATAGAACAATGTCTACTAGATGCTTAGAGTTACCAACAATTCATAGTTTTGGAATCTCAAAAGTAAAAATATTAAGTTTTGGGAAAAGCAGAAGTTGTCTGTATAGCTTTGGGGATTTGCCTTTGAAGGGAAGGATTATTTATGTCTTTTTTTCTTTATCTTTTCCCTTTCACTGTTGGCATACAGATGTAATGGCTAGAGCTACAGCAGCCATGTTGGATCCATGAAATGAAATCCACTTATGTTGAAAATGGCATAGTAAAAAGAGAGCAGCATCTTGGATCCCCAAATAATCAATGATTTAGCCATCCTGGCATGCCTGGGAAAACTTTTACATGAGAGGGAAATAAACATCTGTCCAGTTTAGGGTTCCTTTGTCTAGCAGCCTAAACTCATAACAAGTATATGATTTGGTACCTTTAAGCGGCATGCTGCCCTTAAAAAAAAAAAAAAAAAAAAGGCTTGAATGTGCAGCATTGAGGTGATGGGTGGAAATGATATTAATGGTTAGAAATTCAATGATCCTTCATTAGACCATTGCAAATTTTTGGTAAAATTGTTATCTGTGATATGTTGGAAATTAGACCAGGCACCAACATAGCCTGTAGTTTTAGAATGTCTACATGAGTTGTCCTGTTCCTGGGAGATATTTTGGAAAATTTTTGGAGCTGTTTTTGATGGTCACAATAATTAGAGGAGGGAATTTTGTGGTCAGGGATGGTAAATTCCTTGCAATGTAGAGGAAAGCTAACACAATAAGAACGGATCTACATCCCTCATGACATCCCTCATGATGTTTTTTTTTTTTTTCCCAGAAATGCAAAGACACTGTAAATTGAGGGAGGCTTTTATTATCTTATTCCAAACTTTACTAAGAGTTGCATTCCATTTCAAAAAATCACCCACTGTAATGCTGTCTCAACATAACTCAATATCCTGGCATGAGGCTGCATTTGTAGCTATTGTACAGAGATTCTGTGTACAGGTATGAGCATCTCAGTACTTCATAATGTCTTCTAGGGTGGTTGTGCCTGAACATGTGCTATGAATCATTTCAGAAGTTATGTGTGAAAATTTCAGATTATGCCCTCCAAAGAAAGCATGAATTCCCTCTATCCTTTTCTCTTTTCCTTCTGGCTGGAGGTAAATATGATAGCTGGAGCTGGAGCAGCCATATTGGTCAAGAGACAGAGCCACAGTTGAGGATGACAGAGCAATTAGAGACAGCCTGTGTCCCTGACACTATACAGCTGCCATACATCAACAGTCCTGCCCATCTAAATTGTCAGGTGAGAGAGAACAAAGTTTTATATTATTTGAGCCTCTGTGTTTTGGTCTTTTTCTTTTTCTTTTTTCATTATAGCAGCCTGAGTAGATTTTATCTAATATAGATGTGAAGAACAAAATATAAGCAAAATGGAGCACAAATCACACAACTTCTTGTTAAATAACCAATCCCAGAAATACTTTCAATGACAAATTAAAAAGCCAGCATAAACAGAATGCCAACAACTTGAAAAAAAACATTAAATTAATTAATTTTCTTTTCCCTGTAACCAAGAACACAGAACTGGCACAAAAAGACACTTGAGAATAGAAAAAATAACAGGTTTATTCAATTCATAATTTAAAAGGTATAGACGTATGTGTTTTAGGCATAAGCATGATACTTTTGTTCTTTTTATATACATATATAAATATATGAATAGGCATCAAAAATCTCCAAATATATACGATATCATGCCAAGCTTCCAAATGTATACAGTAGATAAATTTCACAAATTTAAAAATAATAATTTGAAAACAGAATACAAGCAGGTTAAAGATTTGCAGTTTTTAATGTGTTTAACAAGTATTTTAAAAAATAAACTTCTTTTGTATGTAAAGTGCATGGTGATCTTTTTTTGGATCATTATCCTTAATTCATATAGTTTTGGCCTACTGGGAAGTTTCTATTTTCACATAATGACAGTTTCATAATTTTGTTGTGATTTAAGGACCAACTATATTTACGCAGTGCCTTGTTCAGTGACTTGCATTCAGTAAGCACTCACTGAATGTTTGGCTCCACGAATCTTCAATGATAATATTCCTGAATGATGTGCAATTCTATTGGCTCCCATTTTATCACTATATCAATTATAGAGCAGACCAATTAAAATATGCCAACAAAAGAACTCAAAGAATTCTATCTATAAGTCTGATCTCGTCCGTTAGAAAAAAACAAAAAACAAAAAACAAAACAAAAGAACAACAACAACAACAACAAAAAAAAAACCAAAGGAAACAAATAAAGAAATGAAAAAAACTGGAATCTTGGTAATCAAATGAGTTTCCAAGAGAGCAAATTCTGAAGACAGAGATGAGAATAGAAGTCGTGGCTGTTGATTCCCCATTTCAATGCTTCGTTTTAGCTGACCACACTTCCTCCCTCTGTAGAGAAAATCGATGCACAATGAAATTATCTGTACTCATCTCTGGTAAATAAATAGCAGAAATCTTTCTTGTTTCAAGACATCAATGTGAAACAATTGTTCACATGAAGAATTTGGTTTGTTTTCTTCAACAGCTCTTCAACTGTCCATTTTGCCAATTAAAAAAAAAGTACCACTTTTTCATAAAGTGAACACACAGCAGCAACCACATAGATGCAATGCAACATTTAAAAATTAGTTAGAGCAGATTTCATTCAAATATGTTTGACATATATTACTGAGAAACAAAAAAATATTTGCACGTTTATGCAAACTTGTAATTTAGAAAGGAATTTGGAAGGCTTTTAAAATGTAAGGTAGATGAGCAGTAAAGATAGCAATTATCAGGTGGGTGCCTGTATTTAGCAGCTAAACGTATCACCCTTAAATTGCATATCTAAGATCCATGTGCTTACATCTGTGAACAGATCAAATCTGTGAAAGTATGACTCTATTTACAGTGTTTGTATGTGTAGTTAAGGAATTTTACAAATTATGTCTGCAAGTACACTTAGAATGCCTATGATGATGTTTTTACATGTGTAGAGTGTTAGGCTTTTTCTGGGTATTTTATACTCTGCCTCTCCAATTTGTATTTGGATTTCAAACCTACTTTGCAGGAACTGTATCTAATTCAGTGTTCTTTGCACCATGGGCATACTACTTGTACTAAATAACTGTTTATCATCCTCGAGCGCCTTAAAGTAAACACAACACAATTTCATCTGCCAAAACCCTGCTATGCATTTATATGTTGCTTTTAAAAACACATAACCCCAAGTAAATCACTTAAACATGGTTTGCTGTACAATTTTGGTCTGCTGTCTGTTTCTTCGTATTATTATTCTTCCAATGTTACATATATTTTCATGTCATCTCCATCTTTATGTTGAGATCAAGGCATTTTTACTACGAATTCAATTCTTTGAAAAGATAAGAAATTTTTGGTCTCTGATAAACCTTTTGCCATTCAGAGAAAAGGCTGAAAGAAAATATAAAGAAAGGAAAGGAAAGGAAAGGAAAAGAGACCCCCCCCCCACTCACACACTCACACACATGTACAGTAAAGAAGGGTCATCTCATTACAGAGCAACATTCCAAAGATAGAGGCATTTAGCTATGGAATGGTTAATAACAGAGCTTTAATTTGAAAGAGATTGGAAAACCAAAGAGATATTTAAAATATTTTAAAATCACTCTCACATCTTCCTTTGTTGCTTCTTTTCAGTTCTTTCAAAGAAACTTGACAGCTCTAGGAAAACAAAACCCTTCAACAATTCTTGAAGCTTAGAGTCCCAGGCCTTAGAAAAGAACTCTTTCTACGTAGTACACATTTAGAGCTGACTTGAACTGGAGTACTAAACAACAGCTCCGTAGCAGCTATTTCAAATTACTGAGATTCATCCAGAAATGCCAAAAATCTTAGAACCAGCAAGCCCTGATTGTGGGTTGAGAAACAAACAAAGGGGGAAAGAGAGAGAGGGAAACTTCTCAAAAGTATGCTTTTGTCATTGAATTTTTTTTTTCAACATTTATTTATTTTTTGGGACAGAGAGAGACAGAGCATGAACGGGGGAGGGGCAGAGAGAGAGGGAGACACAGAATTGGAAACAGGCTCCAGGCTCTGAGCCATCAGCCCAGAGCCTGACGCGGGGCTCGAACTCACGGAGCGCGAGATCGTGACCTGGCTGAAGTCGGACGCTTAACCGACCGCGCCACCCAGGCGCCCCTGAATTTTTTTAATCACAATTTTCACCCAGTATCTGAAATAATAATCTTTACGATAGCTTACTGTTGATTCTTTAACCTTTGAAAACATTTTAAACAATAGTGGCATTTTTCTATTCTTACCAGACACCGAGTATTCTCAGGCATAAACCATGTAAAGAGTCTCCAAGATGGAACCTGATCGTTAGAATCCTAGACTTATACAAGTAGGGTCTGTGGCGTGTAGCCAGAAACTCACGAGTTCAAGAATCAGAAGACCTTGCTAGGTATCTGCCTCAAACACTAATTCCGTGTAACTTGGGTGAGCTATTTAATCTCTAACCTTACTTCTCTTACCTGAAAAATGGGAATAGTATTTTTTGTCTTGTCTTAGCTCAGAGTTGTCGTGGAGATCAAATGAGATAATATATGTGAAAGTGCTTTGATGCTGCTAAAGCATGCTGTAGATGAAGACTATTATCCTCTAATACAGCTTCAATCAACAGATAAGGTAAATGAAACCCACTGTGCTCAGGTGACACCTACATGTCAATGCATGGCAGGACCAGAATTAGAACTTGGGTTTACCCAAGTTGGGGTCTGTAAAAGGAGATTTTCCTCACATTTTCATGGCGAGGCTTTGCCTGAAAAGCCCATGACCTGAAAGTGCCTCATGTATTCCCCGTCTCTTCTGAGCTCATGTGACCATCTCTGACGCTAGAAAGGAGTCAAGGCCTGCAGAAGGAGCAAAGACATTCTGCCCTCTGATTCTAAAGTGCCTAAAACAATGACTCCTCCTTGGTGTTCCTTAGACGCCTAGGGTGAAGTTAGGTGGGAGGAGGGATTGGACTGGGAGCTATTTCCAGAAGAATGTACGCCAGCCTTGGTAATGGAATATATTATACAGCTCACACACATTTCTATTGCAATGCTTCCAATGTGTGTAGCTGCTATTAAGATTATTCAGATAAAATTCATCTGAAAGCATTATGGAATTCAGAGTGGCTTCTGGTATTTTATATTTTTTAATTAAAGAATTAAAATATATACAACTACTCGAGAAAGGACAGCCCAGAGTTTAAAAAATTGGGAAAGTTTGGCCTAATCCATCTCTTCCTATGCCAGGATAATGTAATTAGTAGGTATTTGTCGGAAAACCAATTCAGGGGAACATATTTAAGGGCAAATGTATGTGAGAGCTCCCTCCAACAACAACAACAACAAAAAGTGTGTGAGTCCACTTTTCTTTAAAAGATGATTATGTAAATAATTCTTTTTTTTATCTTATTTTATTTTTTGTTTATTATATTTTATTTCAAATTTATTCTCCAATCCCTGACCCCGACCCCCCACCAAAATGTCTCTTCCTCTTCTCCCTTATCCTTTTTCTCTTCTATTTTTTAGCTGTTATGTTATTTGTTCATTAGTTTTTTTTTTATTTATATATGAAATTTATTGTCAAATTGGTTTCCATACAACACCCAGTGCTCATCCCAAAAGGTGCCCTCCTCAATACCCATCACCCACCCTCTCCTCCCTCCCACCCCCCATCAACCCTCAGTTTGCTCTCAGTTCTCAACAGTCTCTTATGCTTTGGCTCTCTCCCACTCTAACCTCTTTTTTTTTTTTTTTTCTTCCCCTCCCCCATGGGTTCCTGTTAATTTTCTCAGGATCCACATAAGAGTGAAACCATATGGTATCTGTCTTTCTCTGTATGGCTTATTTCACTTAGCATCACACTCTCCAGTTCCATCCACGTTGCTACAAAAGGCCATATTTCATTTTTTCTCATTGCCACGTAGTATTCCATAGTGTATATAAACCACAATTTCTTTATACATTCATCAGTTGATGGACATTTAGGCTCTTTCCATAATTTGGCTATTGTTGAGAGTGCTGCTGCTGTCAATACTACCCAAAGCTATCTACACATTCAATGCAATCCCAATCAAAATTGCACCAGCATTCTTCTCGAAACTAGAACAAGCAATCCTAAAATTCATATGGAACCACAAAAGGCCCCGAAAAGCCAAAGTAATTTTGAAGAAGAAGACCAAAGCAGGAGGCATCACAATCCCAGACTTTAGCCTCTACTACAAAGCTGTCATCATCAAGACAGCATGGTATTGGCACAAAAACAGACACATAGACCAATGGAATAGAATAGAAACCCCAGAACTAGACCCACAAACGTATGGCCAACTCATCTTTGACAAAGCAGGAAAGAACATCCAATGGAAAAAAGACAGTCTCTTTAACAAATGGTGCTGGGAGAACTGGACAGCAACATGCAGAAGGTTGAAACTAGACCACTTTCTCACACCATTCACAAAAATAAACTCAAAATGGATAAAGGACCTGAATGTGAGACAGGAAACCATCCAAACCCTAGAGGAGAAAGCAGGAAAAGACCTCTCTGACCTCAGCCGTAGCAATCTCTTACTCGACACATCCCCAAAGGCAAGGGAATTAAAAGCAAAAGTGAATTACTGGGACCTTATGAAGATAAAAAGCTTCTGCGCAGCAAAGGAAACAACCAACAAAACTAAAAGGCAACCAACGGAATGGGAAAAGATATTTGCAAATGACATATCGGACAAAGGGCTAGTATCCAAGAGTATGTAAATAATTCTAATCACTCTTTAGTTGGTCATTATTGTGAAACCAATTATACTCTTTTAAAAATTTTTTCATTTTTAGAGAGAGAGTGAGAGAGGGGGAGAGGGGCAGAGGGAGAAGGCAAGAGAGAGAATCTCAAGCACGCTCCACGCTGAGCACGGAGTCAGACGAGGGGCTCGATCCCATGACCCTGGGATCATGACCTGAGCTGAAATCAAGAGTTGGACACTCAAATGACTGAGCCACCCAGGAGCCCCTAAATGATACTCTTTTATTCATTGATTTCACATGGCTTTTTGGGGTTTCCAGATGGTAAGAAGAACCACTAAATTATTATCTGAATTTAGTTTTTGTTCAGGTGAAAAATTCCTCGGAATAACTTGGTGAGATGATAAATATACAGGCCAAATTATTATTCATAACAGTTTAATGCTTAACCTTAGACTTACACTCAGTGGAGGTGGAGATGGCAAAAATTTTAAAAAAGGAAATATGTGTTCTGAATTTGGTACATAGCTCTTGCAAATCAACATATCCAGAAACTCTCCGAGCGGGAAAACTTACAAAGTAAAGGAAAAGTTATAGTAGTCTTGTTTAATAGGCTTCTGAGGATTTGTAACAAACTGTCAATTATGTATAAAATTTTAAATGGGAAATGGGAAAAATGAGGCTAAGAATCATTTCACTGGACTAATTAGTAATAATAATAGAGGTACAATTTATTGAACTCTTATGCACATTTAGGCTTTATAATAACCCTGAAGGGTCACAGTATTAGCACTAGTATTCCCATTTGCAGATGAGGAAATTGGAAAGAGTGGACCAAAGCCATGGAGTTTATAAATGGCATAACTGGAATTCAAACTCAGTTCTAACTCAACTCAAAGTCTAGGGTGTAAACTCCAGGTCTCTGGGATGAGGAAATGGCAGTAGAGAAATTCAAATAGTTTTTTGCATCAGCTGAGCCTAATATGTGGCTGTGGTTCAAAGATGAAGCTTATAAAAATTTAAGAAATTAGATGTAGGGGCTCATGCACGTGAGGGGTTCATTGACCTTCCTGGTAAATCCATCTTGCAGTTGTTACGTTTCAGGAATTCAGCCAACACCTAACACAGGCCTTTCTTTCCAGTTAGGATTCTCCTTCTAACCTTAAATCAAAGATACCACTAAGCATTTGTGCTAGGCCTTAGGGTAGTGATACTCAAATTATTATTATTATTATTATTAATTATTCTTTTGCTTTTTTCTGCTTTAACTTATTAAAGGATATAACAAAGTCCCTTCCGTAACAGTGGTTCATTAAGACATGGATTCCTGGCAGGAAATGTCATTGCTCTGAAGTGAGACTCACACCGACAGGATATGAGAGTGCTTTTTTTCTCAAAACTAGTACTGTGTATTATTTGTTCAACACCCTAATTCTTTTTTTTTTTAATTTTTTTTTTCAACGTTTATTTATTTTGGGGACAGAGAGAGACAGAGCATGAACGGGGGAGGGGCAGAGAGAGGGGAGACACAGAATCGGAAACAGGCTCCAGGCTCTGAGCCATCAGCCCAGAGCCTGACGCGGGGCTCGAACTCCCGGACCGCGAGATCGTGACCTGGCTGAAGTCGGACACTTAACCGACTGCGCCACCCAGGCGCCCCCAACACCCTAATTCTTTATTGCCTGTCCACTATTTACTAGTATGCTGCTAGTTCCTAAATTACAACAGAGAACCACAGAGATAACTCCTACCCTAAAGAAACATTTAATTCTTGGAATTTCTGTTCATTATATCACCTCCTCTCAAATACACAGGTTCAAAACCTTAGTGAGGCCCATGCCTCTTTTCTTTCCTTCTCCACATATCTAGTCTATTGTGTTGGCTTTTTCCCATGAAATGTCTTTTGATTCCATCCTAATTCTCCTCTTCTGCTAGTACAAGTCTTTGTTTCTTCAAACTCTGATGATCAGAACATCTTCTTTAAGTTTCCTTCTCATCGCAACAGATATTTGTTGCATACCAGGTCTGCATCAGGGAAAGTGCTAGGTACTTATGCTTCTACACTCTGTTCCTTTCCTCTCTGATCCATTCCATATATTGAAAATATACTCCCCTTGGATCCCCTCTAGAGGTTTTGTCCCAACATAATGAGACTGAACGCTGTGAGGCTGAGTGTGGTGAAGAAGATTGCAGGGATGTTTTTGAGGTGGTACCATCCAGGGAAAGGAGCAGCTTGAATGGATCTGAAATAAGGTGCTGGACCTCATCCTGGGCCCGCACTGATATGAAAAGCTGAAGCCCAGGAGATGGGAGAGGAAGGCCCCTTCATTCTGAGTTCCTGGGCCTGTCTCTACTGGAAAGATGACTGGTGATCAGTGAGTATTTATTAATTGATTGATTGCAGTGTGTGCTGAATCACAACTCCGTTAGCCCTGCAGCAGTCATGCAGCTCCGATTTACACCTTCTGTCTCCTCTTCATTACTCACCCTCATGCAACAATCAGGCTGATCTTCCCACTTCCATTCCCTTCTGTGTAGGTGCCTATTCAACTTCTCTTGTAAGCCCTGTCTTTCTCCTTCCTGCCCTAAAACAAAATGCATGATACTGCAGGTGTTCCTCAATTGTATCCAGTCTTCTGTCATCCATTAGTGACTTCCATACATGGTGAGACTGCGGGCTTTGGGGTCACAACTGCTGGGATTTTATTCCTGACTATTATCTTCTGGCTTTGTTACACTGGGAAAGTCAACCCACCACTGTAAGACATAGTTAAATATATATATACATATATACATATATATACATATACGTATATATGTATACGTATATGTATATATATATATGCATATATAATTTCCTACACCCAACATGGGGCCTGAACTCATAACCCTGACGTCAAGAGT